GGCGGGCGCCCCAGCCAGGGAGGTGTTTGTAAGGGAGGGAATTTCCCTGAGGTAAAAAATTGCTCATAAAACATTGTCTGTAAGTAGGCATCGACCGCCAGATCTTCTTTATCACCTCTGTGTAGGTTTGGGGGTGCAGGTCCCCGTTTTCAGCCCCAATTTTGGCAGGCTGTGGAGGAGAACGGACGCGGAGGGCGGAGGAGAGCGCGGCCTAGCCTGTCTGTTGGCCTAAAGGTCTGTCATAGCCCAGCTAAATCCGACCCAAAAGCGCAGTTAAAAGGCCAAATGTAACCCGCTCCCTCAAATACTGCAGTCTGAGGAGCAAACCCACCCGGGGCTGAGGAAAAAAGCTGGTGCTGGTGGTTTTTTTTTTTTTTAAATTGTCGTTGTAGGCCAGGGGTTACAAGTACTAACGTAACTCCGTGGCTGTGCTTGGTGCTCTAAGGTTTGTCATCCCTCACTTGAACTTGTACGTTTTTATTTGCACTGACAAGGAAAAAGAGAAAATTGAAAAAGAAAAAAAAAAGAAAAAAGCCCGTCGAGTTAATATTTGAAGCGATTCGTTTTATGCTCTTTGTGACAAGGCAGGGAAACGGAAATGTTCCAAACCAATCTCCAAAGTAAACAACCTTTTGCAATAAATGTTTGCCAAATGCTAACACAGGGCCCAGAGAAGTACGGGGACAAAAGTGCATCCATTAGCAGCAGTTTAGCGACTGCTTAAGGACAACAAACATTCTGGAGAGGTGGAAAGTTGATGCTTTCTGCCTTGCAAACAAATTAGCTTATAGCAACAAATAAGATGACCCTTCTTGGCTAATGTTATGAGTTTAGCTTGTTAAATATTTAACGTTTATCTTTCAATTTTCCAGTCTGGATTAAGCAGTTCTCTAAACAAGTGGTATCCCAGCAGCAGATGGAGATGCACAGACCATTGCCCTGCTCTGGCTGAACTCCCTAAGAAATAAAAACCACATTAAGTCAAAGAGGAAGCTAATTGGAGCTTTCAGTAAAGTCTCTAAGCTTTGAATCTCACTGCTTGTACTCATTTTTATTTACATTAATTTTATCTAGCTCTGCTCTAAATTAAAACGGTGGTAATCAGCTCAACTTCAATCAAGTTGAATAGAAACAGACTGGAATTGGCTGAGTACTTCTGAAAATCTCCCTTGTGGTGAGGTATTTTTTTCTTCCATATAACACAACTGCAGACCCAAGGTAAGATTTAAAACAAAAAATGCTTAAAAATGCCATAAATCCTTCCACTACAGTCCTGCTAAAGACAGTAAGGGGAGTGGGGGAGGAAGAGAAAGTATCATAGGATTGCAACTTAATTTCTAACGTATGAATCAGAAATCTGTATTGGGTTTAGCCTGTCTTGAGCCAAGTTTAGTGGTGCCCTGTTTTCAAACAGGGGTGGAGCTGCTGTGTGTATTGTACACAAGGAATTAAAGTTGTCTTGAATCCGCAATCATCTGTAGAAAATTTCCACTGACTTCAGACTTTGCTTTTAGAATATAATTTTTTTTGATATAACTGTATGTTTATCTATAGGTGGTTTCTTGATTGTTCTTCAAGCTGTTACAGCAATTTTCTGTCTCATGCCTGAACAGTGTAAAAGCCTAATGAAACACTAATTTTAGGAGCAGTTACATTTGCTCGTGAGCCTTGTGAAAGTTTACACTATAAGCTTCTTTAGCTAGCTGGAATTATACTGTACCTAAATTAAAAATGCTTCCAGTGAAGTATAACTTCCTTAAATGTACAATGCAAACTCTATCCAGCACACAAGCCCAAGTCAGCCAAACCCATTTGTAACACTTTTAGTGAAATGCCCCGTATTCTCTCAGTTGTCAGTACAAACAGTGCTGCCATTGTGGATGTGGTGATTTTGCTCTGTGGCCTATTAGAGAGGTCTGGCTTGCATGCTTTCGTAATAAATATGAAGGATGTTTGGAACTTGTTTTCTGTAATTTTTGTAAATTTTTAATCTTTGAAACAATGAGATCTATTCTCTGAGTGTATTTCCCACTGATGGTAACTGGGATGTTGCACTGCAGCCTTGGACGGGTTCCAGTTATGTTACAACCAGTGCTGCCAGCTCTTGTAATTATACTGCAGCACTCATTCTCTTTGGCAATTTCCCTGAAGCCTCAGCTGCTCGAATCAAGAAATAGGGTGAAAAATCTCAGTTAAAAAAAAATATTTGAGAGGTAATGAGTCACTAACTGACATTGTTGCCTGACAATGTGAAGTGTACCTATTCTAGAGACTCAGAAACCAGAAGGCAAATCAAAAGAACATATTTCTTGATCTTTTAAAGCTCATTACTTTTCAGACCCTCACCAGTTTGGGTCTGGGTCACTGGAGTTTTTTATATAGCAATACTGTATTATTTATTTGTACATCACGCATAAAGTCATTATATTCAGTTAAGCTTAAATGCTGCAGGAAAAAACTTTTAATTTTTTTTTTTTTTTGGTCATATGCAAGCATACGTATAAGTAGTTATCACTCTAAAGGAACCAAATAACATGAAAATCATTTCAATAACATGCCCATAACTTTTTCATATCCTGTTTCCTAATTAGTGCAAGAAGGTAAGAGAACGTTAATTACCATACTTGTACCATCTCATATACTTCCTCAAGAGTTCCCATTTAGAACTATCTTCCTAACTTTCTGATGTCCTACTCGTATGATGTCCCCCAGTCCTTTTATCTTTTCCTCCTCTATGATCAGCTGAATATTCCATTTTCTGAGAGAAGGAATTGGAAAATTATTTAGTAAATTGCATATCACTGCACTAAATTAAAACAAAAATGTATCCTGTGTATATGACAAGATTTTCTGACTCTGTTGTGGTGTCTACAACAGAGTGATTTCCTCTTAGCCTAGTTTTGGGTATACTGTTTTCCTCCTTGGAAAGTAGGACTTTCATATTTTCTCTCCAGGTTAAATTTATGGGACTAACAGAACAATGACATCTGCTGCAGGGACCAGCTACACCTTGATTCCCAACCAGAAATACAGACGCAGTAACCGTCGCTCCAGACAGCGCTGCAACATCTTGGACACAGATTCCCAATCTCTGTCAACACTTGGATATTTTAAAACACTTCCATTAGAGATCTTTCAAATGGTACTGAATTATCTTTCAGGTGAGACTCTGATAAGAAAGGTATTACTTCCAATATCTGAAAATTACCACGAAAATTTTCCATTTAGAAAAAGCCATTATTTAAAATGCTTTAGCTTTTAGCTAGTTGAAGTTATTTTATGTGACTTACTCTCTGAATTTTCAGCTTTTATGTATAAAGAACCGAGTGACCAAAATTTAAATTATAATTACAAAGTATTTGAAGTGTTTTTTTCCTATTATGTGTGAAAAGTATTCCTTAGATCTATCCATTTCCAATTACTACAGTTTGTTGGCAGAGGAGATAAACAGTAATTAAATTTTGTTGTATTTGTAAATCTTATTTCTTGACCTATTTTTGAAGCAAGATAAAGTTATTGACGAGTGATCAGCATTTTTCTTGCAGTAAAGATCTACAAGTATACTGGGTTTTGCTTTTTCAGTGAAGGATATCAGCATGCTGAGCATCGTGTCGAAAACCATCAGCAACCGCCTTATTAATTACATCTCAACCCCATCAGGAAACCGAAGGCTCTTACCGCAAGACTTTCATAACCTTGAGCTACCTGGCAAGAGAGAAGGATCCTATATTTTAGAGCACTACAAATCTCTAGGTGATCCTTTAATGGAAATGGTAACAATTAGAGGAGAACCAAGCTCAGTTAAAAGGTTTCTTCTGTTATATGCATTGATCGGTAAAATGCTGAGGATACGACCCAAATCATTTGCACAGTTCCCTGTGAAAGCGAAGTTCCTCCCCATGCCAAATAGCCCACTCAAATACTATTAACTGGCAGGGGAAGGTGGGAGGAATTACCTGAAATGATTCCAAAACCTCTTAATGACGGAAAAAATAATGTACGTTCTGCCTCCTCCATGTTTATTTTTTTCCTATTAAATGGCAAGCAGCGCTTGGGCAGAGGATCAGTTCTCAGTAGTAGGTGTTTCCAAATTTAGTTTGTTTGGACACCACCACTGGAAACTGCAGCAGAAACCAAGACTCCCAGGCCCCACGCTAGCGGGAGGAATTTGGCTGTTCCGACTGCCTTCGTGTATCACTGCGGAGCAGCTCGCATTCCTCAGTCTGGGAAATGTAGCCGCAAGTACTTAAACCCAGCCTAATTCTAAAGCGACCAACAGTTGCCATCAGAAAGCCTGCTTGATAGTCTACTTGAGATGTAGTGCAGATTGCATTCCACTTCTTAGAAAAGAAGCCTGCTCGTCACAAAAATGTGATCACAGTAGTCAGTGAGTAGCATTCTTCTTGGCAGCTTTGTATCAGAGACTGAAATGGGCATGAAGAACACATTTGCCTCTTGCTCCTAGCTTAAGGGCAATGCAAAAATGTCTGCGCTTTTGCTGTCCTGGTATACTGTACGCTAACCAAACCCTTTCTGGGTGAAAAGAGTCACTTGTTCTTTCTTTCAGCTGCTCAGACCTCTTTTGGCATAGTGTAATAGAAATCTAATCAAAATAATGTGGGTTCAATGGTAATGGGGAGCACTGTACATCCTTAAATTAAAAATTGTTTGCTTTTTAACTTTGCTGCTAATTTTTAAAACACATTGGTTCTAACTCATTCTAAAGTGTTCTATCAGAGAAGCAAATTAAATTGAAACATAACTTGATCCATATCTATTTACTGTCACCTAGCTGATAAAGAAAACATTGTTCATTTGACAGAGAAATAAAATGATGCCATGGTTAGATGCAGAATTCTAAGTATGGTTTGAACTTAAGACATTAAGTAAAGGCATACACGAGGTAAAGGAACACCATTGAAATAATTTAGACCAAAGACCTCCTATTGTAAGCAATCCTTGTAGGTTTTGAGGTATCTTAAAGTAATCTTAGTGGCTTATTTTTAAAATGAAGCCTGAAACCCTACAATTAAAAAAAAAAATATCAAAATTACTTTGGGTTTTGTAGTAACCACATACAAAACGGCAACTTGTTATTAAATGTCGGTGTGAACCCATCGCTATAGTAGGCCTAGTAGTAAAATCATGACCTATTCAAAATATAAAGATCATTGGCAATATCTGTGTCATCAGTGGAAGGCTCAAGAGAACGTTTTTGTTAAAAGGTCAGTTGCAAAATCAATATTTACTTTACAGCAGGAAAGACTGGACTCAATGGGAAAAATTCATTCCCGTTCAGAGAGCCTGAGCAGGGTCTACATATTACATCAATCTCACTTAACTGAGCGGGGTCTGGCTCCACTCAAGTCCAGGGTAGAATCTTCCAGTACTTGTAATGGGGTCAGAATTTCGGTCATTGTTTAAAATAGACTCGAGTTATAAATGATTGTGCCACTGTCCTTCTGCAGAGGGGGGGGGATTTTGCTCTACCAAACCAGCAGCAGTACCTTTTGCTCAACCCTTGCAACTCAACATTGTTTTTCCCCACACTGATAGCTGTATTCTGATTTCCAGCTACCCTGTCTTAACAGTTTCAACTGTTCTTCAGGGAGTTCTCTCCAAAGTCTAATCTAGTCAATAGAAAATTGACTTGACTGAGCTTTGGACCATGTCCTAGGCTGATGAATAAATTATGTCTCATGTAGGAATGCTAACACACTTCTATATAAGGAAAGAGTCAATTTAGAACTACACTAAATGCATGAAGTACTTTTTGACATTGGAGAAGTTACGTATTTTTTGGGAGACTGACAATTCAGGAAAAAAGTTTCCTTCCCCCTGCCAAAGAAAAAGTACATGCTTTTCTGTGGATTTCTTGAATAATTAACAAACAAGATACATATATTTTACTCTGGTAAAAGTTTTTGAAGCGCAGGCTGGTAACCCATTTTCTATCAGTAGTGTAGAAAAAAATGCCACTTAACAAACAGCTGTTCCACACTATAATGAACTCCAGACTTTGACATCCTAAACACATACCATTTCAGTCCTGTATAGGAAAATAATTTTACCTCTTAGCTATGTTTTACATTAACACAGTTTAGAATATTTTCTTTTTAGAGTGTGTGGCTATCTTGAAAAAATTTTGGAAGCTCAGCTTTCCATGATGTAAGGGGGAAACCAGCATTCCGCAGGGGATTGTTAAAAGAGGTGCAACAAGTAACATTTATTTCCAATATTTTTAACAGCTCTAATTCTAAAACCAATATAGTAATTTTAATAGGGCTCCAACTGTGACTAACAGGGGCTTTAAAACAACACAATAAACAAGTTATGGCAAAGGAAGCCTATGTACTCCTGGACAACATTTCTTTAGTAAAAGATGTCCCTCCTCCAGATTTCCGCTCTGTGCTGCTCTTTTTGCCTTGCAGGAGCAGCTTTTTCTCACTAGCGTGTGCATGCTTGTGATGTGAACACTTAAGCTAATTCAGTAACGTATGTGCCATGTACGTATACTCATAGTCATGCATGTATTTGTTTTGTTCACAGGATTGTTGCTTAAAAGATGCACACTTCTACTGCCTACAAAAGATAGGCTAAAGTATATACACAAGATTCTCTCAGAAGTAAGTTCACATTCCATTCACGTATGTTTCAGGAAACTGTCCTTTGCACTTACCTTACTATTTCTAGCAGGCAATTTTTAGTTGAATTATGCCTTTACTGTCCCATTGCTGGAGTTTATTACTACAGTGTAATTAATGTAATGATTTTCAATCATCAGCCTCTTTTTAATAATAATAGAAAAGCCTAAGCCAGCCTATAGAACTCAAGGCCATTCTACTGAGATTTCATATTCCAAGACCAGTGGTTTTCAACATTTCTTCAGTTTGTGGACAACTAGAAATTTTGCAGTGGAAGAGCACAGCTCTTCACAGAAATTTTACCCTCTGGAAAACAGGGCTGTTCTTCTTACCTTCCTTTTGCACGCTCATTTGATCACAGTTTAGAACATAATGCTAAGCCATAACATAGGTACATAGGTATTGTTTCCTTACACAATAAGAGAAGGGAATCCTTCTGAACCTCTCTAATCAGTATTGATGTATGCAAGTAGAACAGAGAATTTTCAATCACAGGAATTAGCTTACAGTCAGTTAAGATAAATTACCAGTGTTTTTCATTTGCAGGTTTCCTGTTTTAAACTTAATGGGTGTCCAAGTCCTTTACATTGTTTAGGACTACAGTGCTATGGGGTATTTTTACAGGTATGGTATCTTTACGGAGAGAAGGCAAGTATCACAAATATAAAAGAAAACTGAGGTAGTTTTCTAAATTAATCTGTGTTTTTGCAAGATATTTATAAGATGGTTTTGAGCCTTGGGGGGTAGCGGGGAAGGTATTATTCACGCAGTTCTCTGAATTTCCTTTCTGGTTGTTAAAGTTGCTGATTTGACTCTTGAGAATTCCTTCGTCTGGATTTCACTACCAACCAGTCTGCATTTTGATTAGCAATTTATTATCTAAGAAGACATGGGAGAAGGGGAGGATTTTATTACACAGCTTGAAATTCACAAATCCAGAGCAGAGATGGTTTAGTTTAAAAGTAGGTGGCTATACACATCATATGCCAGAATATTTTTGTTAGATTGTGTAGCTTAAAGTTAATAATAATAATAATAATAATAATAATA